ACGCATGCGTGTCCAGCCAGGCCAGCCAGCATTGTGCGAAGAGAACACGCAACAGACGCTGTCCCTTGCGGCGCAACCCTGAAGCGGTCACGGCTATGTTGCTCGTGGCCCCAAGCCCGTGTCGAGTTGAGACATCATGGCAGCGCCACGGTTGACGATGCTTCTTTGAAACAGAAAAGTGACCCGACGGCCTATCCGCCTACAGATCATGTAAGAACCCCCCCCCCCCCCTCCCCCCCAAGTCTCGATGGTCCACGACCAGTGGCATCTGCAGCCCGACCAAGGGTGCATCGCGCGTGCGCGCGTGCCAAGCTTCTGGGCCGTCCAAACCAACCCACATCATCTGAGGATGAGATATTGAGGCCAGCCGGGAATAATGAGATCTCGCCCGGTCGACGTCCTTACGATCCTCCGAACCTCACCTGAATGGCAGCATGGAATGGAGCCCAGGGGTTTCACGATCGGACGTCCTTCTGCGAGACCCCTGGCGTACAAGAGAAGAAAAAACATCAACAGCATCGGTGAAATGCAGGCCGACCCCTCAGCCCCTCCAATCGCACCCTTTTGTCGCGAGCACATGCTCTCTCCAGTGACATTCACATCTCGTCTCGCTCAGCTTCGCAATTGCAATCGGAACGACATCTCGTTGTGGCGGCCCAGCATTCAGAGGCTCAATCGTGTGGCGTCTTCATTGGAGGTGAAGCCACAATCTCCGATGCAGCGCGATTCATACATGTACGTCAGGGCAACTTGGACTTGGTCAATACGGCGGCACAGGCAAACTCGTCGCAATGACGCCTTCGAATCCTAAAATTCTTGCACCGTCGCCCGTTCTAAAGCCTGCTTCAGCCATCCAAAACGGCCAGAGGGAGATAACGACACGCGCTAGCTGGCGATCCGAAAACCGGTCTCGCGCCGGACCCGGTATTTTCTTCCACACCCGGCTTATCTTCGCCTTCTTCATGCCTTTGCTCGTCGGTCCAGTTGAACCCCCCTGGAGCCATGTCCGGTTTGATCCAAGCTGCCTTCAAACCTTGCTCATGTTCAGTCTTGCTCCGGCAGTTTCGCCTCTTGCAGCCGTGCCTCCCAATGCTGCAGCCACCCGAGGCCCACGGCACCTGCACACAACGCAGCATCGAACTGGCTCTTCCCGAAGCCTTCTCGACGCACTCTGGAAGCTCGGAGCATAGTCGTGCCATCCCTGAGTCGATATCTTTCGAATACCGACGGCATTCCGGTACGGCGCTTGGCATGTAGGCACTGGTGGCGCCATGCGGCTGCAACCATGACGCGCCGAGGCTCCAGCATATCGCGATTTTTCACCGTCATGCCAATGACGGTTTCCAAGACACCCAGCGCAGAGGTCTACGGGCGGGTCGAATGGGTCGCAGGTACATGTAATCAATGCATGTATGGATGGGTTCCTGACCCTCCCGACTGCCGCACCTGGGACCCGCAGCAAGACGGGCTCCCTTGTCTGCGTCTGCCTTGAATAGCAAAAAGCCTGGGCCTCAAGGGTGCGTGCTGGCGCCTGTCGAAGCTTGAGGCTCGGATCATCGATAGCTTTTGTGGCTTGAGCTCGTCGTCACAGCACAGCGGACTGCAACCTCATTCATCTTGACGTGATCCACCTGAGATAGCACCGCCTGGCCAGAGACTTTCCGCCCAAGCTTGTCCCTTGGATATGACACAATCTGCCTAGAACACCAAGCCTTTCCAAGCGAGCTTTTGGTTCTCGCACCAGTAGGGTCGTCTTACGGATTCACATGTTTGTTGGTTGCCGGGCAAGCCTGGGTCTCTTTTTTTGAGGAATATCGGGTCCCCTTGACTCACCACCCCGGCCACTACTGGTAATCACCTCAACAAGTTACCTCTCGCCGTGCTTGTGCGTGTACATCCACGTGTGCTTCTCAGCACAACCGCGCACGACACCATCGACGCCTGCGCCCGCCCACCCCCTTTCGCTGTCCAAACGGCACTTATCTGCAAGCTAAGCCGGTAACAAACCGCGCAAAAATTCCTTCCACTCTCTTTTTCTTCGTGTAATGCCTGTAGCGGTGTGAAGCCAAGACTACTCAAGTGGGACATATCCGGCAACCTTATCGTTTCGACGACCGATTTTTCTGATCGGGCCGTCGTTGTCAGGCTTGTCAGGCACTATGCGTGCACCCACCATGTGCGCCTCACACCTTTCATATCACACACACAGGTGAACCCACCCTTGTGGCACACTCAGCCCTGTCAGTGACGGTCCGAGAAGTGAGCTTGCTGCAGGGCCCCCCTCAGCTTAGGAGGGTGGGTCACACCTGCCGGAGCCTAAGGAAAAGAGCCTCAAATCTTCCATCCTCGAACCCCCTCCCTGCCTAAGATACTACCTCTATCTTCCAATAGATCACCACGACAAAGGGGTGGTATTAACGAACGCGGCGGGACACAAGCTGCCACTGAACCCCCACACACCCCTTCGCGTCCATCCCTCCCTCCTCGTGGTTCCCGCTTTCGAAACGAGCGTCGTACCCACGTGGATCTCCCGGCCCATTGCCGGGACCGCGAGAGGATAACCTTCCCTCGCTCTGCTTGGGATTCTCGAGGATCTAGGGCCAGTTGTGTTCAAGGGCGATACATCCTCCCGCAGCTGGCAAGGGGCGGGGCAGAGCAGAGCGTGTGGGCTTCGACTCTTCCCCCTTGCCGCGTGAGTAGATGACATGGCTGAGGTGCCGGGGGTGACAGCAAGTCCACCTTGGGCGCTGATCAGGGTCTGGCTCGCGGTGCTCTCGGTGTTTGGGAGCGAACGTGAGTCTTGGGTGTGCACCTCTATATGTACATGGTACATGTAAGTTGTGGTGAGGCTCTGTGGAGCCACGGTTGCGTAATCAATCCGCAATCATCTTTCACCTTTTACTTCGGACGACATGACGAGCAGTTGATTCTTCTGAAACCGAGCTACTTCCCGCTGTTAAACACAAAAGATAAAGTTTACGACGATTGGAAAGTTAGATTCCGTACCTTACTCTGCATGACGTGGACATGGCAGTGAGTCTGGGCAACCCGGGTCCATCGTTCTTTGTTGCAATGTACGATATAGCTGTTGATCTGATCTTGCCCCCTCAAGCAACGCAAGCCGGCGAGTTTTGTACCTCTACTTGAGCCTTTCACCTTGTATCATGATTATGTGTAAACAAACGAAACAGTCCACATTACTAAAGTTATGGATTATTCCTATTTGACCTATATAAATATCTGGCATATACCCCGTTGTCACTCATGGCTTCCAGCCCTGTTTCTCGCCTTTGTCTACTGTCATGTTGAGATTGTTCATTAAGTAGGGTATGCATGCCCCTCTGATCCTGGCATGTGAAGGCATTTGACCCTCGGGCCACATTGGTCCAGCCTTCTCTAGCCGCTGCGGTTTGCCTTGACAAACCTGCTCTTCATCCACATCCCTTGAGCATTTTGCAGTTACTTCGTTATGATCACCGTAAATCACCGGCAGCAATTCTTCATTTTCTGATTCTGCAAGTCTTGTCTTTCATGCCTGTAGGTGATGCTTGTTTCGAAAAGAGACTGTAGACTAGTAGGTAGATTTTGACATGTTTGGGGGGGGTTTCTTGGCTTCGCCATGAAAGGATTGCGTACTTCCTACATAAGTCGGCCAAAGGATTCATCTTATGCGAGGCAAATACGCACATGTTGCTCTTTGTCACTGGGTACGAACACCGCGCCATATCCTGGAAATCCTTGCAAAACTTGTCGACAGCGAGAACCATTGCAACAACAGAGCAGGCGTGCGAGGAGTATCAACCTTTGAGGGCAGCTTGTCACGCATGAACTTCTTCGCTCTCTCAGGTCGTTTGAGCTCAGCGAGGGGTATTCGGCTAGAGCAAATGTCGTAGATGCATGATGCCAGCGTGAACTGCTCTGTGCCGGCCCAGGACGGGGGACTTTGAACCGCGGACTGAGCTTGCAGGAAGGCTTGTTAGCCTCAATGAGCTAAAAGTCGAATGACCATTTGAACGCAATCTTGTCATCAATCGAGATAAACCATCCTGCGACACCCATTGAGAATGATGCAGCACAGATAAGGGATAGGAGCCATGTCCGCGAAATGGTATACATGTCGATATGATCTCCAAAAGAGGTTTATGGAAGAGACGCGGCATACTCAGCCATAGTAACTGAACCCAAGCAAAACTTACGAAAAGGCATTACCTACCTGCCAACTAACCTGGCTTTGCCGATAATCACTGGGAGGAGCAGTAGCTATCTCGGTTGGTTTTTGGAAAGAGAGAAGGGAGTGATGTTGGATTTCAGTAGATACACAAACCGGCCGAATTAGCGTTGGTAAACCATGAAATCGCTTCAAGCATCTCTGATAATTGACGAGACGACCGGCTTCAAGTTGCGTTCGGGGTACGAAAACAATATTATGCCACATCATGATAGTCATGAGGTGAAGTTCGTCCACGGAGCATCCTGACTAGCCCCGACTGCTCGTGCAAGTCGGGTAGGAGCGTAGAGAATGCGTGTATAAGCCGCGCACCCATCCATATTGAGGCTCACCTGCTGTATGGCAGCTCGGACTCGACTAGAGGATCCTCTCATTTTCTCAACGCCGAAACCGCAGGAATAATATGATCTTAAATACAATCACTAAAAAGGGCTGCTCGGCGAAAGTAACCAGCTTCTCTAAAGGACATTCCGGCACCTCTGGTGGTTGGTGATCATTTGACCCATCGCCACGGATCAGTTGGACTTCTGCAATGAAACTTGCTGCTTAAAGCCCCCTAGAGTAGCAGGTACCTATTTGACATGGACGTGAACTTATATCAACGTACTATCACCTCAGCGAAAAGTCGTGGAAGAGAATAGATTTAGAACTAAAACCGCCTTGATACTCCTGCGTGTTTGCGAGATGACGGTCGACCGGTGTTGTATGTTATAGTAACCTAGGTTTATGCACTTTGACAGGTTAACCAAAAACAACGGTCATTTGTCTTGCATTAATCTTGATATTTTTAGCTTTTTGAGCCTTTGAATACAATTTCGTTCTTAGAAAAACGGTGGATCTGAAGAGGAAGCTGAGTGCGTTGCAAGGCTTTCCAGACCTCACCAGCTATGCTTGAAGCTTTGTTAGCACATTCGCATACATTATTCAAGATCCGCACAAAAGTAAAGGCTCATGCAGACCTGTTGTAGCTGCGCCCTCTCATGCAGCTTAGGATTTGGGACTTTCGCCCAGTGATCGATACTTGGCGGCGGCGTCAAGTATGTTTGGCTATGCATCATGGTTGCTTGATTCAAACATGGCAGCCGCGTGATTTTCGTCCGAAAGCAGCTCCATGAGGAGTGAGTTCTGTCCTCGCAGTGTGCAGCTACTCGTGAAGAGCTGCGAAGCGGCTAATGTTAGCGAGGATGGTTGATGTCGTTCTGACCGCCACGACATTTCGCACTCAAAGGCCAAATCTGGGATATACTCGAAGGACCTTGCATTGAATGCAGCGTCCTGTTGCTACGCAGAATGAGTGAATGTTTTTATTCGTCACCATGGCGTAGCACTTACGCAAGCTGTTAACAGTACCGCAGCAACAAGGAACGAGGAGCAAAACTGGTGGCGATGGTGAACGAGATCATCGAGAAAGAGGTTTTCGTCAAACATTGCAGAAAATGGGTGGTGCCATTGTATGTATGCCGTCAACATGGCGGCAGCGAAGATATTGCTCATCGGGACGTTGGTCCAGTATGTGACGTCCAAGTCGGTCAAGCGAGGATCGCAATGGAGCATGGCATTTACCTCGGCGTGAGGGGCGTCGCGTATCACGTCCACTATTTGTGTATTTACTTGTGGAGGATGTATCTGCGGTGACTTTGAGTCAACTGCGGTAGAGCTTTTCTGCGTGATGCTGGTTTCACATGAAGACAAATCGGGTGAGGATGGCGAGGCCGCTTGAATATTCAAAGAACCGCCGAGTGGATCAGGACATGTCGATAAATAAGGACTTCTCAGATCGAAGTCGGATTCAAGGTCAAGGTATGTAGATGGTGCCAATTTCTGAGGCACAGCCAACAGTGAGGGTGAGGGTGTACGGGGGCTGAGGGAGGGCAAGCCGGCGCTGTCGGACATGGAACGCAGACAACGGAGCGATTCGACGGCCTCGTCCTCTGGCAAGGCTCTTAGGCGTTTCACGAGTTCTTCATGATGCCGGAGCTTGCACTGCAAAGCTTCAATCTCGGTCTCGTATTCCTCGACTTTCTGCTTGCTGGATCGATATGTGCACTGCGCATGTCTTCTCACACAAGCAGTGCATGCCGGCCGGAAGCCGTCACACTAGAATTTGTCAGTGCCGCCGGAACCACGGCCAGCGAGTCATGCGAGGCAGGTAGGAGGGCACTGACGGCACTCTTTTTGGTGCGACATCGTTCGCAAGCGACGTCGATAGCCTTGCGCCTCTTCCTCGGACTGGGACTGTTCCCAACATCATCACAGGGCTCCTCATGGCGAACTGAGCAGCACGGTGACGACAGCGGTAAGATTGGTCTGAGAGGCGGAGCCATGTCTTCATTCAGTGTACGACATACCTCTTCTGAAGCAATTCAGGATGATGATTAGCTACGGAGCATACTCCGGGGAGGACTGAAGTACAGCGTAAAGCATGTCACGCGCGCGTAGGCGATGTCATCAAGCGACCTCGATTACCCCACCTCTGCGCACAAGCCACGACATGGACCGACGGCACGCGCCGGTCCAAGCCATTGTGGCTGAATAGGGCAGACGCCTGGGCTGCTGAAGCTGCACTTCAGCTCGCTACCTCCCTTGCACTGATAACCTGCGCCAGATCCCGAGTCCATCTACTGAACACAACTTCACCTCTTTTCGTGCTGTCCTGCCTAAGTTTTCACCCATCTTCTCCATGTCCCCATCAACTGAACCCTCAGCCCGCCTCGATGCCAGTCGACAACGCGCACCCGACTCGAGTCAGACGAGCCTGTGATGGGTGCCGGTTGAGGAAGGTTAAATGCGACGGAGCCCAGCCATGTGCCAACTGCGAGACTCATGGCATTCGGTGCGTTGGCGCAACTCATGAGCCAGAGAGACGCAAAAATCCCATCCGGGGTAGACTTGTTGCGAAAGCTCGGGGCGAAATCACGGGAGAACCATCCCCTCCACAAGCACAGCTTCCAGTCACCGTCTACGGAAGCCAGCTTTCACCTGGCCAAACCGTCCTTCTTGGATCCTCGTCTGGTCCTCCGCCACCTAAAGAGTTCTTTCGAAACCTTCTTCCGCAATTCGAACAGATCATTTACCCCTTCAACCCCGCAGTCTCCCCGGCCGACATTTTCGCCGCCATCGATGCCATGGACGAGAGCTTTGAAGACGCTGCCTTGGTTTATGCTTTCGGAGCTACGACTGCCTTCCTCACAGAGACCTCGGCCACCATGCACGGCGATGCTGCTTCGCAAATGAACGAACTTCTTCAATACAGCCTGGAGGCTCACAGGCGCGTCGACCTTGGCCCAGACTCATTCATACGGCTTGATGAGACCCCTCTCATCACCAACAAGCGGATCATGACGTGTATCTATCTTGAGATTGCCATGATGCCTCTCAAGTTCTACGATCGCAGCTTCGGCCATCTTCGAGAAGCCATCACCATGATCCAGGTCGTCCAGACACGCCAGCGTAGCGCAGAGACACTCCGGGGAGCCGACTTGATCATGTTTCAGAGACTCTACTGGGAGGCCTACATTCATGAAAGGTTCCTGACCATTGCATCAGGCTTTCCCAGCATCCTTCCTCCCCTCAACTCTGGTGTCCCAATGCGGGATCCAATCATTGCAGCGCACATTCAAATTGGCTTTGATCGAATCATTGAGCTCTTCACCATTCTCGACGACGTTTTCTTGTCGAATTGGGATGGTAGAGAAGATAGGGCCATGCAAATCACAGTCGACTGGATCGAAAGCAAACAGGTGCAACTTGACCAGCATGAGATAAATGCCGCAGAATCCGAGCGCGAACTTCGCTTCAGCGGCCACGATGGCTTCACAGAGCTACAGCACGCCGATCTGTTCATCACAAGGCTCTGGATACGGACGCTGCTCTGGCAGCTCGCCCTGTCCAAGGGGTTCTTACGCTTGGCTCCCGCCCATACCCACGAGGGTCTCTCATTACAATTCCCCGCTCTACGCCTGACAACACAGCTTCGGAGCCTCGTCAGCCGCCTGGACAGCATTGCTAGCATCAGCACACAGGGCAGCGGTATCCTCCAGAAACTGTTTGAGATCACCAGCACCATTGCCGACGTTCTGGCCGTGTCTGTGAACCAGCCGAGCATGGAGAGCCACATTGAAGATTTCCTTTACATAGCCCGCTTTCTCATCAACTTTGAGCGGATGCGCGACAAGCACAGGGTCTATTTGCAGGAGAAGATGGACACGCTTCGAGGGTCGTATCCCGGACTGCCGTTTTCACCAGTCCCCTTGGGTGCTTTGTCGCAGGCTTCGTCGCCAATGGACCAGCTATGACCAAGATGCGCTGCTATCTACGAGTGTGACGCTTTTCATGACTGGTGTGAGACTTTTGACAGACAACTGCACTCTAGGATTGCATGTTGAAAAAGACCATGCTAATGCTAATACTCCATGCCATGCATCCGCCGGTGAACGCTTCACTCCGACAGACAGGCGACTGCTCTACCGTCTAGTTGATATCCCCACACACATATTTACAAACAAGATGTCCACTATTTACAGATGAGGCTGTCCGATTTCGGGCACCTGTCCCTGCGTGCCGGCCATGTCCTCCCACAGCTGGACCGAATCAAACACGCTGTGTGACCCTTCGTCATCGAGGAACCAGCTGATGCCCGCGCACGAATCGTCGCAGTAGACTGTTGTGGTCAATGCAAAGCGATCGTTGGCAAAGACCTCGAGCACATCTCCATCACGGAAGATGCGCAAGCGAAGCTTCTCCAGCTTCTCCGTCCCGTTTTCAAGCGAGTACAGAAGTGTAAAGGGCGCATCGAGAAGCGACTTGTCGACGTCCGCCTCGGTGTTGGAGAGACTCTTGTCAACGACAATCTGCTCAGTCTGGGGGGTGAAGTACACAGTCGTCCTCTGCAGGCCGTCGGGGCTTTGGCATATGTTAAAACCGACGCGCCTCTGCCTGGGGTCGACTGTGATCACGGCGTCGAGCTCCCAGCTCTGGTTGCGGGTCCGCTCTCGCAGGATGCCGGCAGCGCTCGTCCGGCCCAGAGATGACCACTCTGCCGGACGGGAGGGGCGCAGTGTTCGGAGGTCGTCCATGGGCTTGATTCCCAACGTCTTCACGGTCTTTCCGCCCGAGCCGCTCTCCAGAATCTTGAAAGAACGAATGTCCTCGATTGGCGATTGCAGGCCCCTGGTCACATTGTGTGTCGTGGAGAGGAACAGTTCTCGTGGCAAGGACAAGAAGCCCGTCCAGCCCCTTGCTTTGCAACGGCTCATTGGCAGGCCATCCTCTCGAACCCAGCCGATGGTGATCCTCTTTTGCGTCTCAGGATGAACATAGGAGTTGGGCGCGTACAGGCTGCCGTGATCCAGAACACCGTCAAACTCGTGCCGCAGACGTGGGCCGGCCGCAGTCTGCTCTACCGAACCGGAGAACCACGATGACCACTGGCCAAGGGGCTCTTCGTCGCCCTCCTTGTACCTGGGCTTGACGCCTCCCTCGGTACCCATGAGAAGAAAATCTTGCTCGTGGGCACCATCTGCAGGCTGAGAAAGTTGACACATTCCCAGTTGACGCCGAAATTGCCCGTCCAGGAGCCGGGGGCGCGGAACCCGGCCGTCAGGTCAGCGAGGGGACCGAGATATTTCCACTCCGTGAGGTTGTCAGGAGGGATGGCGTACAAGAACACCGTGGGGCCCTTGCCGGAGACGCCGCCGGACAAGAAGCCGTAGAGGCTCTTCTCGCCGCGAATGAGGTCGAGCGCAGGCCACTCGGCGAGGAACGGGTCGCGAAAGCCGGTGACTTCGACGTCCTCGGGCTCGCCCACGAGGATGGGGTTGAGCTCGCTCTTCTGCCACGTCTTGCCAGCATCTGTGGAAGTAGCGAGCGACACGCCCTCCGAGTTGCGTATGTGCTTCAACGTCCAGTGGATGGGCAGGGCGGCAATGGACGAGTAGACGACGGTGAGCTGGTCCTTCTCGCCGTGAGGTCCGGTGGGCCAGAAGCAGCCAGTGAAGATGCCCTCCTTGTCATAGGGCTCACTAGGTTTGAGAGCGGGCTCGCCCGAGGGAGCATGTGTCCAACGCAAACCATCTTGGCTCGTTGCATGACCCCAAGACATGTTGCCCCACTCACAGCCATACGGATTCCCTAACATAGTGTTAAAACAGAGATCATAAGTGCCACGAAGATGTGCAATGTTGCTCTATTCTTACATTGATAAAAGATGTGATAGGTTTTTGTGATGGGGTTGTAACCTGGGCCGCACGGATCGTTCATCCAGCCGCGAGCCTTCAAATGGTATGAGGGTGCATGGTGCTTCAGAGGCAGACGTGCCTGTGTGGACGCCTCGTGAGCGGTGGTGCGTGTCGTGACAAGACTCATGATGTGTTGCTCAGAGCATGTGTTGCTCAGAGCATGTGTTGCTCAGAGCAGGCCAAAATTCAAAGAACAAGAAACGTGCCTACGATGGCTGCTGAAAGGGATGGCGAGAGGGGAAGAAAAGATGGCTTGCTTGGTGGCGGTTGAAGTAGGCATGAACAAGACGTGATCTACATTGTCAGCTGAATTCTTAACCATCACATCGGATCAGATCATGGTGCTAGTTCCATAACAGCTTCCCCACGGGACGCATGGCTGCAGGTCAGAGAGCTATGCAATTCAGCGAGACAGTCGGGGTGAGCGAGCATTTCCCCGGCCCCAAACAGGCTGTCTGGTGACCCAGACCAGGGGTGCTGGGCCAGCAAGGTTCCGCATTAGCGTCCCGGCATTGGGAATCTCATTCTGTTTTTTGGTTGTTGTCGGACCGACAAGTCGGCCCCCTGAGATGCCCACAGGCGGCTCAACACACCAGGCATGATCCATCACGCACAGAAGCTTGTCGGTCCGACAAGCTCTCTGAGGCTGGGCCTCAAGCGAACAACGCGTGGAGCGCGCATTTCCCCATTGGGCTAAGCAGGTGTTCTAGATGGTCAAGGTGGTCTGGGGTAACCAGCCAAACTTGACTCGTCAATCCAATCCTTTTCCTTTCTTTCCCCTGGGGAAGGCGAAAGTCTCGTCTGGGGTAAGTCTCTTCGCGTCATGGCCCCGTGGGAGAACCCTGTCCATCTGATGTCTCCTTTCCGTTAAGCTGGAAATCTCCAAACCTTGCACCTTCGACCCCATCTTTCCCTCACAACCATCCCGCAGTCACACGAGACATGTCCAAGTTCCGAGATCTATAAGACCTCCAGTCGTCCCCCGCACAATGGACACTGCTTTGCCTCAGCAGAACACCACTCACTCCTCACTCGACTCCTCATCTTCATCCATCACTCCAGAGGCGAGAACAACTGACAACATGACCTCCGACTCCAAGATCGAGGCTGCGGTCGAGAACCTCCCTCATGGAGGCGACGTCAAGCACCATGAGCAGGCTCGCGACGATGCCCGCAACGCCACTTCGCGTGAGCACAATCTGACTCTCAAGGACTCGTTCAAGCTTTACCCCAAGGCGATCCTGTTCAGCTTGATCTTCAGTACTGCCATTATCATGGAGGGCTACGATCTATCTCTCATGGGGGCGTTCTACGGATACGACGCGTGAGTTGCCTTGTCCTGGTATCTGTTGATGATGCAATTTCGCCGTCGTTTTGCGGCCGCATGTGGTCAAGAGTGTTCACATGCTGACCGGCCACAGTTTCCAGGAAAAGTTTGGCAATGAGTCAGATGGCAAGGGTGGCAAAGTCATCTCGGCCAACTGGCAAACCTACACCCAAGTTGGTGGTCAATGTGGTCAGATCATTGGTCTCTACATCAATGGATACCTTAGTGATGCACTCGGCTACAAGAAGACCATGTTCATTTCGCAGGGATTGCTTTGTGCTGTAAGTTGAGGTCCTGGGACTCATGGCCTCATCCCAAGATGGTTGAAGCCGATAATGAGTCCGCACAACATACTAACGACGTCACAACTAGCTTCTCTTCATTCCCTTCTTCGCTCAGAACCTGGACACTCTTCTCGCCGGCCAGATCGTCCTTGGTATCCCTTGGGGTATCTTCCAGACCTTGACCCTCGCCTACGCTTCTGATATTGCTCCCGTCGTTCTTCGCCCGTACCTCACCGCATACGTCAATCTTTGCTGGGTCATCGGCCAATTGATTGCCGCCGGTATTCTCCGTGGTCTTTTCTCCATGCAGGGCCAGTGGGCGTACCGTATTCCCTTTGCTCTGCAGTGGGCGTGGCCTCCTTTCATCATCCTCGGCACCATCTTCGCTCCCGAGTCTCCCTGGTGGCTCGTCCGCCAAGGCCGTTTCGACGACGCTAAGCGTGCCATTATGAGCCTTGTTTCGCCCAAGTCCGGTGTCGACTTCAACGTGGACGACCAACTCGAGATGATCAAGGCGACGAACGAACTTGAGGAGGAGCACTCCGCCGGCATGAACTACTGGCACGCCTTCCAGAGGTCTGATCTCAGGCGCACGGAGATTGCTTCCATCTCGTACACTGCGCAGAACCTTTGCGGTAGCGCCATGATGGGATACTCGATCCAGTTCTACGAGCGCGCCGGCCTCTCGGCGGAGAACTCCTTCACCTTCAACCTGATCCAGTACGCCGTCGGTGCCATCGGTGTCGTTCTCTCTTGGGTCCTGATGACGAGATTCGGCCGTCGCACAATGTACCTCGGCGGAATGGGCTCCCTCCTAGTCGTTCTCGTGATTATTGGTGGTCTTGGATTTGCTCCGGCTTCCATGTCTGGCCCGTCGTGGGCTATTGGCAGCCTCCTGATTTTCTGTAAGCCACCCCCGTGTCAGCCACCCGACCATGCCAGCTTACTGACTGTGATCATAGACACTTTCATGTATGATATGACTGTTGGCCCTCTTTGCTACACGCTTGTGGCCGAGCTCCCCTCGACCCGTCTCAAGGCCAAGACCATCGTCCTGGCCCGCAACTTCAACAACATGGCAGGCGTAAGTTTCATCCTCGTCCAATATTGTCGCGAGACCAAATCACTGACATGACACAGCTCGTCAACAACGTCCTCATGCCCCGCATGCTCGGCGTCAACTCCTGGAACTGGGGTGCCAAGACCGGTCTCTTCTGGGCCGGCCTCGTCGTCCTCATCCTCGTCTGGGCCTACTTCCGCCTTCCCGAGACCCAGGGCCGCACCTATGGTGAGCTGGACATCCTGTTCGAGCAGGAGGTCAGCGCTCGCAAGTTTGGCAGCACGCGCGTCGACCAGTTCGCCGAGGACGAGGCCGTCATCAAGGAGTAGAGGACGGAACGGCCCTTTCAGCCCTGATCCG